TATTTATCTTTTTGTTTTGTCTGCTATCTTTTCCTCTTTTTTGAAGTGTGTATTTCTTTGTTGAACATGACCCGTTCCGCGCAGCGCATGCTTACAAAAGACTCTTGTTATTTTTTTTTTTACTCTATTTTATTATTTTATTTTTCACATAATTGTAATAGTTATATTGTACAAAGACTCTTTTTATAAGACTTGATTAATTACTACATTCCAATTTGCACCAAAAAAAAAAAAAAAAACGTGACCCGATATCAAGTCCACTTTACTCTTACCATGTAATTAATTTAATCCCTTTCTCTTGTCAACAAGTTTATGCTTCATTAAGTAATCACTTTCTCTTATCCACCTTTGTCTTTTTCCGGTTCTTTGAGCAAAGCATTAGTCTGTTCACAAGTTCATATACAGGGGTTTGAAATCCCCCAGCCTCTACATATGTAATTCACTTATTGTAAAACTGTTCTTTGCAGTTTGTATCTTACGCTGTTATAAATGTTACAACAATTTTTAGCAATCTATTTCAAAATTTTAACAATTATTGTAATATTTGAATTTTTAAATTAATTTCATAAATTTTAAAATATATAATTAAAAATTAATGTGAGAGTTTTATAAATTTATATAAGTAAATTTTTACTACATATATTATATTTTTAATAAATAAACTTAAAAAAAGAGGAGGATGGGGTCCATACACTTGGAATCCCAGAAAATTAATGTTTGGTTATGAGAGCGGACTGCTAATAACATTCCAAAATCGATAACAGCATTGCCAACTTCATACGTTATAATTAATTTTAAAAAAAATTATAAATTAATAAAATATTAATTAAATTAAATATAACTTACGTGGTTTTAATATTTAAGGAAAATTATTGTTTGGTTATGAGAGCGGACTGCTAATAACATTTCAAAATCGATAACAGCATTGCCAACTTCATACGTTATAATTCATTTTTTAAAAATTATAAATTAATAAAATATTAATTAAATTAAATATAACTTACGTGGTTTTAATATTTTAGGAGGTATCACCGGCATATCAAGTGGAAAGGAGGAATTTTTATGGCTGGATAATTTTGAATTTACTTCCATGGGCCAAATTCAATTGATTTTGGCTTTGGGGAGACAGGGAATGAAAAGTTTCCAATGCAATAAGAGATAATTATTTTGTAATTTTAATTATAAAATAAAAATTATTATATAAAAAATAAATTTTAATATCAAGGAATCATTTATATTTTATAATTTTTTTAAACAATAATTTTGTTAATGTAAGTATAAGGATACTAAACCTATATAATTATTGAACTTCCCCATGTAACCCAATGGATGGGTCATACTCCTCCATGAGAAGTAAGTGGAGTTTATCGGAGTTCGATTCTACTGTTGATCTAAACAGATACAAACTTTTAAGCAATATTCCCCTTGTCAAAAAAAAAAAAAACTATATAATTATCAATGGATAGTCCATTTTATTTATACCTACTTATAATATTACATTCTAAGATTTATGTTATACACTCTGTTACTGTCTTTATTTCACTATAATTTTTTTAGGTAATAAAATATTAATTCCTTGTTGGTCGCCAAATGGCAATTATGACCCCCTGAAACTAAATGAATCACATGACATATGCTTTCTTCTACTTCAGAGAATGCCATTATTCTCGATTGAGTTAAAGTTGGCCCTAAATGTTAATTATCTTGTAATTTGTGATTAATTTGATAGAGTTACTTATTTATTTGACGTTTTGATTTGTTGACTAATTGACATGTGCTTAAATTATACTTACATATTAAACTTCATCCAAAAAAAAAAATCATTGAGATTTCTTTTTGCTTGTTAAAATGTATAAGATGCGTTCTCAAAAAGTTGAATGGAGTATTAGCATGCTAAGATTAATTAGAGGCACCATAAATCCCAATAAATTAATTATTAGTAGGATGGTAATGAGGGATAGGGGGGTAAATCCACGTTAATTATATATTCCTGGAAGAATGATGTGAATAGTATTTGTTATTTACAGTTTCGGAATTTGCTTCTCCAGTCTACTGTCATTAGTCTGTCAATTTATATTTTTACCATGTCAACCAATCACTCCAACTCCTCCTAATGACACTCTGGGAGAATCTAATATCACGTGTTGTTGAGACTGTACGTATTTTCAGATGTTAGTCTGTCAATTCTAGTGTTCCCAATATAGAGCATTCATACAGGCCTCTAGCTCTGAGCAGTTACTTTCAGAAAACCATTTTCCCATGCAAGGTCATGAATTGATTTTATTTTGTTATCCCATGTGGCTGTGAACGAATACCTCCAAAAAAGTGGGACCTCCGGATGCATTATTTTGTTGATCACGGGTAGCATTGATTTTTTCTTTTCCTCTTTGGTTCCCATCAGCTGTTCCTACGGATATGGCTCTGATTTTACTTTACCCTTAAGGTAGTTACTCATTATCTGTTGGTTCTTTAATCTTGCGATTATTTGATTGGATTTTGCTAATTATCAATACTAGATCGAATGGTACAGCAGCTTCCGCCTATTATCTTATTTTGGTACACATCAGCTGGTTGTTGAAATGCTCTGCAGATAATCTGAGCCAAATCTGCATATAAAATTCTAGATTAGTTTTGCTTAATCCTTCTGTTACTCTATTTACCTTCTCTTTGGTTTTTTTAGGACACCTCACTTATATCCCCATGTTTCGGCTTACTTGCTACCGTCACTACTCACTAGTTACTGGTTAATGGGATCATCTCATACAGGTTACATGTTCCAACTCGGTGACATCCCTTTCTCTATTATTCGTGCACTACTAATATGTAGTAGTAACCAACGAGGGGTTGGATCAAGTGGTAAGCGGTTTGTTCCTGTTTAAGTAAGGTCTCAAGTTCGAGTCCTTGTGTATGCAGTAACCCTCGCTGGGAGACTCACCCACCATTTCTAGGTGCGCGACGCAGGTCGGGTCTGAATTAGTCGGGGCGAAGCCCGGATACCGGGCAGGAAACCAAAAAAAAAAAACTAATATGTAGTAATTGACCCCTTTAAAAAAAGTACACCTCATTTATCTGTCGATTCTAGTGTTCCCACTAGAACCATTAGTGCAGGCCAACAACCCTGAAGAGTCACCCTCGGAAAAAGCTTGCTGCAGTGCATTATTGCAAAGTCATGAATTGATTGCTCTCTGTTCAGCATGTGATTGTGGACCAACAGCTCCAAATTCTGATGAGAGCAGACTGGAAAGAAATGGGTGCATCAAAATTGAGATTCAATGCCCAAGCAGTACTAGAATGTATAGCTTTGTTGAACACGAGGAGCTCAGCTTTTACTTTTTGCTTTCTAGTACCCGTCAACTTTATGCTGTACATATATTGACTATAAACCAAGAGTGAGAATGACAGGTCGATTTTACTTTTTATTCTTCCCTTTACTCTTTTTTTCATTATTTATGTATTGATTCTTTAATTTTACCTTCACTTGATTAGACTTTGCTAATTATTATTAATACTAAACCGAAATTTTCATTTTGGACCATTTGTTTGTTCTTTAGATAACAAAATGCATATTAATAGTTGGAAGAAGGATTATTTGCAAACAAAGATTAGCTACTGGCTGCCATAATTTTTCAAGGAATAAGTAAATTCGAAAAGGATGATCAGGGATTTAGGAAGTGGCATTGGCACATCAAGGAGAAAGGGGGAATTTTTGTAGCTGGATAACTTTGAATTTACTTCCAAAGGCTAAATTATATTTGATTTTGGCTTTGGGAAGATGGGGAATGAAAAGTGCAAAGCAACGAATAAGCCTGAGCAATCGAAAAACCA